AGTCTAAACGACTCAGGTGTAGATTGACTACAAGTGCTACCAAGTGCAGCGGGGCTGCAATAGAAAAGGCTTGAGGAAGCGAACTTTATGTCATTGACCTTTCGTTTACAGAACCAAGTATGAGTTAGCGGATCACAACCACTCACTCCAAGAGATATCATTGCCTTCCCAAGGCTAATTGACTCTTCGGTTAAAATTCCATATTTATATATTTTTATCCTAACGCTAAAGTTTAGATTTTCCTAAATATATAGTAAAATCCAAATACATGCATAACTACTGGCTACCTAGCCCCGTACTCTATTCTTGTTTGGGTGTGGTCACACCATGCACATCTCGTGTGACACACATACCCCTGTTATTAGGGTTCGTGTAACCCTGTAACACTGCAACTCACCTGCTGACACGTGCAGTGTCTGTGGTCTATGAGGCCAAGTTGCGATCGCACAAAATCGGACAGTTCATAATCGTTATGATAATGTACTATGATAGTTGCCCATTTCTACATCTTTCATTGCATGTATTCGTTCGAAGCATAATAGCTATTTGATCGCTGTAAGATGCTGTCTCTCTTGTCGGAACGTGCTGTTGCTCTCATCTTTGCTTCACGTGCCTTCATGGCCGACGCCATCTACATTGTCGGTCTTGTCGGACTGTGTAGGTGTCAAATGCATCTGCAATTAATTGACATGTATAAGAAATTGAAACTCCATGGTATAGATGATTTCCTATAATTAGTATCTTACGACGTATATTTAATATTCTCGATACTTTTCAGGACTGATATTATTATATTTTGATTACCATTGAAGCTACGAGTCAAATGGGTTTTAAATCACTAAGTGATACTTAAATCAGACTTCATCTATGATAAGATAGTGATGACTGCACCGTTAATCGCTTTGTCGCAAAAGTGTGAACACTCAGAGTGCTGAGATTGATGAAAAGCTTTCCAGCACAAAGATCGATCACGCAGATGTTCTGGAAATGCGGTCAATATGTATACATATGATAGTTACAGTCGAGCCTGAACCCTTTTGATTGAGTTACACAACGTCGACTACTATTACTACATTGCTGGAATAGAAATTTGTTGAAATGCTGTTTGTGTCGCTGCTTGCAGGATAACGGCATCACTCAATAAAAAAAATACATACAAAACTTTCAAAGCACTTAACAAGGCCGCTATCAAGCTAGAAATATGATAAATTTCTTCCAGGGCTTGGAAGGCAAGCAAAAGAGGGTGCAGTGCATCAGACTGTATTGTGATACTTTTGAATCGGGTTAATAAAAAAGTGAAGAGAAGCTTTGGCTGGATCGGCGATACAGGAGAATTTAGCGTGGCAATAATATTTTGCCAACCGCGCCCAAGATTTCTGGATTGCGCTACAGAACCGCTAGCTTTTGAATCATATCCACCGCTCTATCAGTACCATGACATCCATTCATGTTACAGAACCCAAAAATCTTCAGAGGTTAGACGGGTTTTATTGCCGATCCATCATCAGGGAGTATCATCTATAGATGAAAACGATTGTCCTTCGTTCCGCTAACTAATATTTGGACTTACCCGTCTGACAATAGAAGGATGAAGAATGAAGCACTATTCTTTTCTCACCTTCATTATATATTTGATTTGAGTATCTTGCTGGCGAAATGAACAGTTAGAACTTTTTAATGTTACTTTTTTTTAATTGCTAATGGGTTTATCTCAGCTTGGCCACAAGAATATCCATGGGTAAGAAACATCAAACCTCTCAGAGAATGATGAACCTCCGATACGAAGTTCACAACATTTGGCTCAAAAGTAAATAGAGTGTCTCGTCATACTTTAAAAGCGGAAGTATCAACTCTGTCTGTCTTCTATATGCAATGATTGCGCTTCTGGCAAATCGTTACTTTGCCAGCACATCTCGAAGAAAGCAAATTAACTGATTGCCTTGGAATTATATAGGGTAAACACATTCAAAAGTAGTGAATTCAGACTCACTGCCACGTAGACAAACGGTCAATATTGTTTTTCGAACTTTCAGCATTTGATGTTCGGCATAAGCTCGCAGTGTGCTTTTGTTAACTGTTACTTTTTATACTGAACGGTACTTTTTACGATGTAGCGTCGCTCTAGCTGCATTTTTCTAACGGCGGTCAGATAAAAGCACCAAAAAGTGTCAGGACTACTTCCTCATGTGAAAGCTTGATTCTATGTGTGCACATCTAAACAGCGTCGGTTCAGCGTTAATGTGAACCTGTAAGCGAATAGATAACCTGTTTTTTCACGGTGACATTTGAGTTTTTCTATGTTTGGAAGAGTTGTGCACACGAGACCATCACGAAAACAACAAAAAACATTAAATCTCAGCTATTTTAAAAGAGCCCAAGCTCTAAATACCCCGCGAGTGGCGGGATGACGGAAACAACAGATGCAATGTACCGCTTGAAAGAGCTCGGCCTCCGGCATGGACGATTTCAAAGGTACCATAACTTTGTTATTCAAATCTGAAAGCTTTGTGACTTAACACTTGTTGCTGTTTGAGCAGCAAATTTCGAACCCGGCGTGAGCCAAAGACTCGACGAACCAAAAAAATTCGCCGAGGATTTCCTTGGGAATCAACATTTATGCGAAAGTCGAAAGCAGAAAAAATGGTATTGTCACTGATGAAAGTACAGGTTGCAACTCAACTAATACGAATTTAATTATAGGAGATCATCATGAAGCCATGGTTATACCCGATGGCGGCTCAAAATCTTTCAGCAATCCTTATTCAGAAACGTGCGCGTGGAATGCTCTGTCGAATGCATTGGTCAAGTGGTTTCTTAACTTTCAAAGCGGCTCAACGATTACACGAAGGAGGGAATACAATGGCAGACACTCAGTTTCGAAGTCCAATACAACAATTTGTGGCTAACGGGGGTAACTATTTCGATGAGAGCGGCTTCTATACATTTGTCGTAACAAAGATACAGGCTTGGTTCAAGATGCAGCGACTGCGATGGCGTAGAGTACTCGATCGCTATCCGCTCTACCACATCGCGGCATTGCAGCTTCAATACGCATGGAAAGTGTACCGTCAACAGAAATTGAACGAACGTCAAGCGCGTAGTCCCACTTTGTGGTCGGCTATGTCGTCTGTACATCGTGCTGCATTGTGTATTCAAACCTTCTGGAAGAGTTATTCATACCGGCGTATCTTTCAGTACTATCGCGATCTCCTTACATTCCGCGGCACCGGCGATCCAGTTCAAATGTTGCGAGCAATCAATCCTTCCGAGGCGTCGCTTTTGGACGCCTCTATGAGCGCACAAGTTCGATTCCGTCTTGGTGGTCTAACATTTCCGCCAACTGTATACTACAAGATCTTTACACGCAAGCCTGTGTGCGATTTGGGCGTATTTAGCCCAAAAGATTACACCATATCTCGCAAAAGTGCATCAGTGACGCATTCGCAGGTCAAGTCTCGAATAAATCAATACTTGTACATCCGCGTTGGTAATTCGTACTACAGAGCACAACATCAGATGGAAGATACTCGGCTATGGTATTCTCGTCTTGAGAACAACGGCTGGCGACCAGTAACTGCTAAGGTGCTGGCCGAAGCTAACGCCGACCCAATCACACGCACCACAGGAAGTCGATATACAATTGGTGGCAATTATCACTACTCAAAGCTCGTGCGATTGCAGGACCGCGAACGCACTCGCCGTAACAAGAAGCGACTATGGATGCAAAAATTATACGCACAGGGGCTACTGTCTGAATCGACTCACCTTAGACACGAGAACGAGCATCGGTCAATTGCGTTTGATGTGGATTTCGACGACGAGAAATGGGAGACTGAGGCAGAGGAAATGTTCCAGTGGGCTTCCGCCCTTGATTACGACGAATATGTGAATAACTGGTACGATCTTGGTCGTACTGCAGCTACCGGTGATGAGCTGGCTGAGTCATTGTCGAATAAAATAATACGTTCTAGCTTTGACTTAAGGAGCGCACAGCTCATTTGAAAGCGAATCGTTCTGCTTGGCTTTATATAGTAGGTTTTGGCTCAATAAGTGGATCAGAATTTTAAAGCCAACATAAATTAATACGCAGCGAAAGTCTTCAACTACCAACACTAGTGTTTTAGTTTTCAAACCAGGTGCTGATTAGAGGATCTACCAAATTGGGCGCCTCGAAGCTTTTGTTGTAGGTTTTAGCAAAAGCATTCCTCGAAATAAACTCAGACGTGATTATTCTTTTCTTTTACCAATCCTTCGCAATGCTTAATGACGCATCCAATGAAGCTGATCGATGTTTCTCTGGAAGTGAGACCGAAGCTTAAGCTCTAAAAGTTAATTTCATTGTCAAAATGTGTCCGTTGGAAAGCAAATGATTCTTCTTCGGAACTTGTTGTCATTAACATTATAAAAATGACAGTTTTCTAAGTCCGCTATCGACATTACGTCGTTGCGGTCCCGGTGGTGTTAGCGCCGTTTACATACACAAAATATTCTTTGGCAAAGAGAAAAATATGTCATATCTCTTGAAGTCGATACGGTTTGTATTTTCGAATAGGGATAATCACATAATACAACAAACTATTTCTTCCTCTAGAACACTTATGAAAATCGTCACCGAAACCTGTATTACAATTATTGGGGTAGAAAGAGCCATGACCTTTGACGTTGATCAAAGGATTCCAAATTCTTGACTTTGATTAAAAGTTGCCAAATGTTTGCTTGCGAATGTGTTTCTACTAGTTCGCCCCAGCAAAAGCTTTTATAACCATACGTATGTTTGATACAAGTTGGCATTTGCTGTTTCCGGATTGGAAATTGATTCACATAAAATCAGAAACGTCAACTTGACCGTAATGACCAAACAACACACTAGAGGAGCAGACAACTTGCTTAAATAAGTAACATGACAATGTCGCTACACCTCCCTTTACACGCAGTCATATGAATCTACTGGCAAACAGCATCACTATACGTGACGTAATAAAAAGCAGGTATTTTTTACATTTGTGTAAACGACTAACTTGTTGCCAATGACTTGCTAACCGGTCGCACTACTGACCTCGTGGCTGCCGAATGATCAATCTTTGTAGAAAGATGGTACACTCTTAATTCTCTTTACAAAATGTCGTGGTCACAGTATAAAAAAGTTTTAAAGCCAGGTCTCATTCTCATCGTTTTCTGAGGTTCCGGCAACTAATTTTCAGGTGATGTCAAAAAAAGTCCATCTTGAACTTTTGAAACTGTCTTGGAGGACACCAACAGAGTGCTGAACACACGAAATGGATCGTCGATCCTACGATATCCCTTGGATCCGTACTATCCTTTGGTATAGGAATTTCAAGATGTCGTT